TAGTTAGCAGCTGGTTAAGGGCTGAATGAGCTGCCTCCAATTTTTTAGACAAAATTCTAGAAGGTGCACCTTTTAAATTGTACTTCCAGCTGTTGTATTGTATTCTCTAAACTCAGTTGTTCTTTCATAGCAGCCCTTTTCTGAGCTGTGGTGTACGAAATAATGCTCCCCCTAAGATAAGCTTTAGCTGTTTCCCACAGCAGAGAAGGGCTGACATCTCGAGTCTTATTAGCAGCAATAAAAACATTCCATTGTTCAGTAATATAGTCAATGAATGGTGGACTACTCAATAGAGAGGGGTTCATCCTCCAGTGGCGAGAGGAGGGATCAGTGTAAGGAGTGCAGATGCTCAAACCTACATGAGAGTGGTCAGAGAGTGAGCATATTCCAATTGAGCACTCTCTGATGGAAAATGTCTGATGGGGATTGGAAAAGAAAGTATAATCTCTCCCCCTGGGATTAGTTATTCTCCAAGTGTCAAACAACTCTAAATCATGGCAGAACTCTTTCAGCCTAAGGCTCTTCTGAGAGGTTGGGCTAGACTTAGGTGGGGACTGGTCAACGCTTCGGTCAGGCACACAATTAAAGTCGCCCCCTAATACAACATATGGGGTCGATACTAATGAGACCTCAGATAAGAGTTTAGGGAAAAAGGCAGAATCATATGAATTTGAATCATATGAATTTGGGCCATATATGCAACCTATGAGAATCTGTTCCCCGTAAAGATAACCTGAGATGAGGACATAGCGGCCATCATTATCTTTTATAGTTGTCTCTAAGGTAAATGGGAGACTGCGGTGGATTAATATAGCTACACCTCTGCTATTTATGTTATAAGATGAATAAAACACCTGTCTCACCCAGGACCTCCTCAATTTGAGATGCTATTTGCGTTTTCTCCTTTTTCAGAAAAGCAAATGCCTTTTAATGACATTATTGAATCCCTTAACATTAAGGGATACTATTGTAAGATCACTCATAACATGATAAAAACAAAAAATAAAATACATTTTTGTGTGATCTAGTGGAAAGCTTTATGGCACAGCAGAGGGGCTCAGTGTTTCTACCACAGACAGATGAATAAATGGACAGCTCTTTGAAATATAGTAGGGAAGGCTTCAAATATATGATGGCATAAAGAAATGTAAGTAACGGACAAAGTATTCATCCCCAAACGATGAAGTCCCAGCAAAGGCCCAGAAAGAACAGGGTAAATAGTAAATGTTTCACCAATGCCTCTCTGGTGGCATTGTTGCTTTCAACCTTTCTGATGTCCTGAGCACTCAACCATTCTTCTAGTGTGAAAAAGCCTGAAGTTGTAGAGAGTGAAGCGAGAGAGTTTCAATTTGCAACTACACTGTTAAATGCTGCTAAATCCTACAAACTGGACCTTTTTTAAGGCGTTCTGAAGCAAAAATAAACACCATGAAACCAGTTCTATAGTTATGTTGTTTTGTGTACGGTTCCTACACGCTAGAGGTGTTTTTGCTTGCATACACTAACCCATCAAGGATGGCAGGAGAGATTTTCTTACTGCTGTGGTCTTTTGGCCTTTGGTCTTTTAACTTTCACCGGCTGCAGGTCAGCAGTGGGATGTTTTTAGCAACACAGTCACCTGTTAGAAAAGACCAAGGGACTCAGCCACGGAAGCCTGTCCACCAGACATAAAGGTGGAAAACAAGTACTTGACAAACTGTGTGTCCTCCCAAGCTCACTCACTACTTATCTTTTTCTCTTTCTGTCTCTGTCTGTCTCTCGCTCTTTGTCTTTGGAAAGCGTTGCTGCTGCTCTCTGGCTCTGCACTGGATTGCACTCTTGGCTGCCACTCAGAGCTGAGCCATTTGATTGGTCCTGAACAGCCCTTCTGATAGACATCCCCTGTCTGTAACCCCCCCCCTCCCTTCTCCAACCTCTCACTCTCTCTCTTCCTGCCTGTCTCTGTCTCTCTGTCTCATATATGCAGACTCACTTTCTCTCTGGCTGGCTGTCTAGTTTGCTGCAGCTTTTTCCTGCTGCATGATAAATCTGATGCTAAATTTAGAGTCAGTTTTTCTCAAGCAGTGAGGGATTACAGAGAGAGAGAGAGAGAGAGAGAGAGAGAGAGACAGACTCACTCACTCCAACTGCCATGCCCACTAAGAGCTCCCAGGCCATTTTTCGCTCCTGTCTGTGTCTCATTTAGATCAGCAATCTGCTGGCCAACAAATAGCAGCCCAAATACCGTCTGAAAGAGCTCTACTGGAGGTTCTTATATTCCAGCTTTGAAAAGGAGGCTTCTTTTAGTTACTGACGCAGCTTTCTTAAAATGGATTAGGGCAGCTACTAAATTACTGGTTTGATCTTTTTTTAGGTGTGAATGTGAGTACGAATAGTTGTTTGTCTCTATATGCCAGCCCTGTAATGAACTGGTGACCTGTCCAGGATGTACCCCGCCTCTGTGGCAGACTCGGGCTGTTTGAGGGGTAAGGGGGGGAAAAAAATAAAAAGGGTACCGGCGTGCATTTAAGGGGAAATGGCTTAGGCATGGTTAGGATAACCACCACCAAGGGCATTTTATGTTTTGCCCACTGGGCACACCTGGAGGGCACTTTGTCATGTTTTATCTACCACAGGGGCATCCATTAGGGCCCCCATTGTGACCCTGCAAAGCACAAGAGGGGATGGATGGACAGTATTTTTTGATTAATCCAGTGCCTGAAATGATGATCTGTCAATGAGTACCTTCACTTTTTAATGGATACTGCCACTGGTAGGTGTAGTATGCACCCCTAAACACCTGCATAACACTTGATTGGAACTGCTTCTGATTGGCTAGTGTTTATTGGTTTGGTTGGTTAGGTTTAGGCATAATGAATCAGATAGTAGGGCTATTTTTTTTACCTTAATTCCCTTCTGATACACTGGATATATATTTGTTGTACATAATATGTGACTTGTAAATTAAAAAAAAAAAAAAACACAGTTGTGAAGCCTGCCAGGAACCGATACTTCAGTACCTCTTGGCAGCAGGATGAACGGGCTGTGGCTGGGGTGGGTGCTGTTTTTTAAGTATCCTTTTGGCTCACCTCACCAATATCAATGATGCTCGGGGTGCTGATATCTCTAGGAAATGGTCAACCCTGGAGGCTGTATGATAATGGGTCCACAGAACAAAAAGAGGTGAACTAAATACAGACTTTTTTTACTCGTTGCCAGGGGTTGGCAAGCACTTTTAGCAGCACTTTTTGTTGTAATACTTACTATGACTTTTGTTAATACTGCAGAAAATCAGGCCATACATGATCACTTTCTAATTGTAAATTAACAGCACCATATTGGCATAAATTATACAATATAAAAATTCTGAGCAATGTTCTGACAACCACTTCACTGGCTTAACACAGTCAAACTTTTTTTACTTACACATAAAGGGGGTGTGTTATTTATATTCTGAAAGTTTTCCAAAAATTAGATTAAAAAAAGAAATTGCAATATATTGCTTTGCTTAGTGTATGGCAATATATCACTATATATTGAATCTTATCCCCTGTATTGTGATACGTATTCCATCACCAGATTCTTGCCAATACACAACCTTAGTTACAATATGAGTATGAGGCTCTAAAAAGGCTATCACCAGAGACTGAAACACTGTTGCTACACCATCCTACTATAATTCAGAACCATCATAATGATTTAAAAGAACTTCCTGTATTAAGCTGATCACAGAAAATGAGCTGGTATCATGATGTGCCCCACGCAACTGATGACGCTGATTGATTGATCAGGCTCACAAGGTTGCATGATTGCTTCATGGTAATCAATCAGAGCCAATTCAGTTTTATTTGTATAGCCATGAATCACAGCATAGTGGATGAAGTGGAAGAGTTTTTTTGCAGTCAGGAAGACAATCAGTCACAATCAGCTGCAGATGTGTGAGGAATAATTAATGATAAATGTTGGAGGACCTCAGCAGTAACACATGTCAAGTTTCAGATTGCAACATGCATATTCACCAGCTGCTACTGTTATTGCATCATTTTGTCTCATCAGCACAGGTCTGCTGCTAGAAAACATTATGTGACTGGATCCTCATTGGCACACCCAGCAGCTGGCTAACATCAGCTTTTGACAGTTGTTTTGTTATATTGTACGCTGCATTTTTCAGATGATATAATCACCTAATGTTAACCTAGCAAATCATATTAATGTTCAGCATAATCACTCATGTCTCACTCAGTCATTGGGTGCCTTCCTTCTACTGTCCTCGCATCACCATTCTCCGGCCCATGACCTGAAAATTGATCGAGGTCCGCCATTGAGGATGATCTAAAGGAAAGATGAACTCTGAGTGAGTAACCATAGGTGTATTCCACGCCCTTTGAACAAAATCTGTTAAACCTCTTCATGTTTTAATTTTGATTACAGAGAATCATCTGAGACACAAAAAGACACCCAACAATCCTCAATCATGTAACTAGGGAACAATATATATACAGTTCAATGATAAAAAACTATTAACAATTAATCAATTATCAAAATGGTAGCCAATTAATTTGCAGCCCTTTAGGCTTACATTTGTGTCATGATTTAAAGTCAACTTAAATTTGTACAGTATTTAAAGTATTTATAATTTTATTCCAGTTTTTGCCATTGGCTAATTTTGCAGTCAAAACAACTGAGTTATTACTTCAACAATTATGGCAATTAGTGACTCAGAATATTTTTGGAGAATTAAGTTATGTTAGCTTACTTCTTTTATTAAGATATTTTGTTTGGATTTACAGTGTAGGTCTCTGAACCTAATAGCCATTAGCCATGTCCATAGAAGCTGGTGAACCCGGTTACATCGCTCACTCGCCGAGAGCAATGACAGCTCACTCGCTGACAGAGGTACCATTCACTCTTTTAGAACTCAGTGCAGCATCAAAATGATTCTGAAGCTGTTAAGCTAAGGTAGAAAAGTTACATAATGGGGCATTAAGCTGCTCTCAAAGTCTGCAAAGAAAAGAAAAGTTCAGAAATAGAACAGAAAATTCAAATCTGAATGGAGAGAGAAATATCCATTAATTCTCCTGAACCTGTGTGTTCATGGTGCAGCTGCTTGGATGAGTGCCTCCGTCTGACAGCTCTTTTCTCGCACTAAGTTAAGTCACAGTGCTGTCTTGTTGAATGTGTGTAGTTAAATATGATGGTCTGCTGCATGTGTGAATTTTTCATTAGAGAACTTATTGACAGTGCATTCTGGCGTTGCTGTTTCCTTCAGAGCTATATTAATGCCTGCAGAGCAGTGTGTCTTTTGGTAAATGGTATAGCGCCTTTCTAGTCTTCCGACCACTCAAAGCACTTTTACACTACATTCACTCAGTGATAGCAAAGTCCCCTCGAACAGAAACTAACACATTCATACACAATCACCACACGATGCACAGCAACAGGAGCAATTTGGGGTTCAGTATCTTGCTCAAGGACACTTCGACATGGTCAGGATGAGCCGGAACCAACAACCTTCTGATTAGGGGACGACCCGCTTTCTCTCTGCACCACAGCCCGCCTCTTGCTGCATGAACAGGTTTAAACATGTAAAAGGTTTGTAAATTGTACTGAAGGTAATGTACCGGCACACACAAATGTATTGAAGGTCTGTAGAATATATATTAGCATTTTATTTTAGTATTTTCTTTTGCCCATTGGCTAATGGAGATATA